CTTTACATAGAACACACCAATGGGGTGACAAGCAAGTATTGGGTCGCTTCTTTTGGAATAGATCATCAATGTTGAATCTTTCCAGATAGGCTTCCCAACAAAAACTACCAACCCTAGGAGGGATTGCTCTGCACCAAACCTCATCAACAAGGAAAGGGGGGGTTACAGGACTGGTGGACTGGCTTAGGACTTCGAGAAAGGAAGCACAAGAAAAGAAGCCAATGGGGGTAGGGGTCCAAATTCTAGAGTTCGCCCTTGTGGGGTCTAAGACAACATTATCAAGAAGTTCAAGAAGGCTCGAAATATTAGCAAAGTCTGAATCCCTAAAGGCCCTTCTGAGACCCAAATTCCACCGAAGCCCAGAATTGGAAGAGGACCGGTGATTGATAGATTCACAAAAAGGTTAGTTTCTTGGAAGAAAAACTACCTATCTTTGGGTGGTAGGACAACTCTAATTAAGTCCACATTGGCTAATCTCCTAGTTTACTTCCTATTTGTGTTTAAAATTCTTGTGGGAGTGTGCGAATTTTTGGAAAAATTAATGAGGGACTTCCTATGGGAACCAAGGGAGGAAAAAAGGGATCATAGATTTAGGTGGGATATTGTTACCAAAACCAAAAGTGATGGAGGGCTCGGATTGAGTAATTTACAGAAAAAGAATGAAGCTTTACTGGGAAATGGCTATGGAGATTGACAAAGGAAAGAGATAATATATGGGCTCAAGTAATTCTAAGTATCCATGGGCAAGCAGTGGACGGTTGGGATGCGGGAGTCTCATCTAGGGCTACAAGAGCATCCCCTTGGAAATCAATCCATGCTATTTTACCCTCATTCCTTCCACTCATCAGGTATGATGTTTATTCTGATAATTCTGTGAAATTTTGGGAACATACTTGGGTAGGAATCTAAAAGAGAAATTTCTAGCTTTGTTCCCTCTCGAGTTTTAAAAATGAGCCTGTTTCCACCTTTCTATCCCCTACTTTGTCTGCTCCTTATTGGAACCTGGGTTTTAGAAGGGCTCTTAGAGATTCCGAGCCGAGTTGAACACCATTTCTGATTTGCTTAAGATCCTAGATGAAGTGGTTATTGATCCCTCTAGAAGGGATAATAGGATTTGGGTTCCTTCCCCCTCAGGTGTCTTTACTTGCTCTTCCTTTTTCAAAGAGTTAGCCCAGTCCCAACCGGTTTTCGGACACCCTTTCCCGGTCTTGGAAATTTGGGATAGACCAATTCCTCCCAAAGTGGGTGCCTTCTGTTGGGAAGCATTCCTAAGAAAGTTTAACACTTGCAACTTACTTCAAAGGAAAAGGCCAAATTGGTGTTTGTCCCCACACTGGTGCATCCTATGTAAAGAGAATGGTGAGAGATGTTATCACTTAATGGTTTCCTGTCCTTTTGTATCAAAAATCTGGTGCTGGTTTTTTTCTTTCTTTGGTTGCAGGTGGTCCTCTCCTCCAAGTGTGCAGAGCTTGTTTAACATTACGTTAGTGAGAGGGTTAAAAAAGAGAAGTAAATTTCTATGGAGATGTGTAAGAGCAGCATTATGTTGAACAATGTGGGAGGAAAGAAATCAAAGAGTCTTCCTTGAGAAAGAAAGAAATAAGGAAGCTATCATTGAAGTAATTTCTATTAGGGTGGCTCATTGGGTTAAGACCTTGAAGCTTTTAGAAGATTACACAGCAGGAGATATCATTAAGAACTGGAAAGAAGTGGCTTGGTTAGCTCCCTTGAAAACTACCCCTTCTCCAATTTGGGCTCCTCTGAAGGGATGGGATATCCATCTCATGGACGCCCAAATCTTGCGGAATGGATAGGGCGAATTTCAAAAATTTCTCCCATCTTTGCAGGGAATCGAATTCCCTATTTCAGAAAACATATTTTCAATGATCAATCTTGAATCAAGAACTAAATCAGATCTA